CTTGACAGCATGACCTCTATCGGTATCCTTGCTTGCATGGATGTGCTAAAAATGAAAATTTCAAATAAAATTGCAAAAATTTTGGAAAATTTTTTCTGCATTGCGACGAATGCATATAACTGGCGAGGATTCCAGTGAGTAATCTTACTGCCCAGGCAAACAGAAGTAAGTTTTGCACCAAGGATTTAAACAAAATTTTTCGAAACTTCTTGACAAAGTTTTTTTCTTTGGAATGAAAGCCCAACCTTTAATTAATTTGTAATTGAATCAAAAATTAGGCTATGAAATACCAAAGGCATAGAACGCAAAAGGATGCGAAAAAAATTCTTTGGCTTTAATGAAGAATAAAATCTTTTGCTTGTGGGGAGGCCTAGGTTTTTGAGAAACACCAAAGAAAACAGACAAAGTAATCTTAATAAGATAGAAAGCAACAGAGGAATTTGTAAGGTAAAGGTTGCGCGTTTCTAACCTTGACCTTACGCATAAATCTTAACTCAGAGCAAAGGTTAATTGTTATAAAGACCATGGAAATCTGCATCTAAGTCTGCATAAAAATCTGGGGCGGTAATAATTTAGCCGAAACGGGGACGCTTGCATGAGAGTTGACTGCGAGTTTGTTCGTTTTTATTGCCCACCTAACTCGGAGTTTAGAATGGACGAGCGTGTCGTATAGCTTTAGATGGGGAAAAGTGAAGTTGGTGGGATGTCAATAATGGAGTAATATATAGTTGATAGGAGAACGGTGTGAGAAAGTATTCACAAAAGAAGTTATGCCTCTAAATTACCAGCAACCTCCGAGTTATATCGCACAAAACTGCTAGTTTCATTGGCCATTGAAGAGGGATTTGAAGGTGCAAGTTAACCACGAGTTAGGCGGATGCGATGAGATAGTGTGGGAGTGGAGAGACGCAGGTGTAGCAGTGCTCGTTTCGTGCAAAAGTCCTATGGAGGACTATTTGCTCGTGGTGAGCTGACGCATGCCAGGATAGGCGGTTGGTCCGCCAATAGGGCATAGGATACCATCGGTGGGAGACTGACGCGTTTCAAGATAGGCATCTGGTCCGCGAATGACTTTGTCGCCTTGGACTAGGAGACTGACGCATTCCAAAACAGGCGATTGATCCGCGAACAGGCGCTCGCTGCCATCGCTATCGGTTGATGAAAATTCAAATAATGCTTTCTCACGATAACAGCGCAAGA